ATATGATCTAGCACTGGCCCATCATTTTAATTGTATTTTCAAAATTTCCTGTAACGTTTTCACTACTCTTTTACATTACTACTGCTTCCCGTAGTTGATTATGATTTAATGGTCATTTAATAATTAATAAAACTTTAGGTGATTCCTTATCGAGTACTACTTGGCGGGTCCGTGCCAGGAATTCCAAAGTACTTACTTTGAACGTACTAATAGTATCCTAAAACTATATGTTTGTTATTAAGCTTTTACCGTGATTATTTTTGACGAGTTATTGTGAATGAGCTGTATATAGAAAGTTGACATTGGTTTTGAGTTTGATGACTGGCATAATGAACGCGAATTTATGTCAAGAAATGCACAAACCCGCCAAGTAGTACTCGATAAGGAATCGCCTAAAGTTTTATTAATTATTAAATGACCATTAAATCATAATCAACTACGGGAAGCAGTAGTAATGTAAAAGAGTAGTGAGAAACGTTATAAGAAATTTTGAAAATACAATTAAAATGATGGGCCAGTGCTAGATCATATAATAGGCAAACATTTAGTGACTTCAGAAAGAAGTAGAAAAGTAGTAGTAGTTTCTTTTCTATCAGAAATCTGTCACCAACAAGTATTACGCAACTTGGCGTGGGCGATGAAAACGTTACACGTATCTATTTTTTCTCTCAGACCCCATATTATATCAGTATTAAATACGTTCAATGCTTCTCTAGCTTGATTTTACAATTAATGTTATTATTGCAAGACTAAAGATATTTGCAATAAAGTTTCCAGAAATATTATTTACCAAGATTTATTTCCAATATAAACAATGAAGTAAGATATTTCATTATCAATGGGTACAGCGTTATCTGAATGCGCCGATGAAATACTCATTTCTTGAGGAAGGAGTGTTCAGGAGAAGAAGAGGTTTGGGAATATGATGGCAGCGTACGCTGATAGTCAGGAAAAGGAATGGACTTCCACGAGAAATCTGAGAATTGAAATAACAATTATAACATTATCACTGAATGTCTACAGTAAAAGTTGTTAGATGTGGTTAAACTATGCAGTTTTTAATTACGCGTTTCACGGCAAATTACGATTAGATTTAAGAAGGATAAATTCAGTCTGCTGGATGGATCTAAAACTGATCTACATTGATCTTTCGCGTACAGTGATTATGACTTGAATCGATAGTCTATAAATGATCTGCAATGCTCTATTTTCGTAATGCACAAATAACATCATATTCAGATTAATTTTGAGCCCAAGCCGCCATTAATTTTACGGAAAAAATCCTTTTCAGTTTAAATTAATCGGAAGGAGAAATCCATGAAAATTGGCTGAAACAGGTACACGGGCATCCAGGAAAGGGAATAGACATCCTGGAAATAGATTTGTTATTAGCCATAGTTCTCGAGGTACAGATGTTCTTAGTTCATATCTTCGGAGTCCTGGAGTTCCTCGCCGTTCACTCCTCCGGAACTACGTTGGGCACTTTTATCGGGACACATCACATCACTTTTATCACATCTGGACACCCTGGACTTCCACATCCAATACCTACCTGGAAATAGATTTGTTATTAGCCATAGTTCTCGAGGTACAGATGTTCTTAGTTCATATCTTCGGAGTCCTGGAGTTCCTCGCCGTTCACTCCTCCGGAACTACGTTGGGCACTTTTATCGGGACACATCACATCACTTTTATCACATCTGGACACCCTGGACTTCCACATCCAATACCTAGAAACAGGAAACTGCGGAGCGGAATACCTGGACACCCTGGACTTCCACAGCATGCCACCTTGGTAAGCCAAAGTTCGAGCCTCTGCTCATGAACTTTTTTTTCATAAATTTTGTTATACATTTTACGTATGAATTTGTTTCAAATTA